TGTTCCAGAACATTATGAGAGAAGGCTGTCAGCTATCAATTCACAGAATTTCCTAAAGGCAAAATTAAGAAACACGCAATGGTTTTAGGCAAAAACTTAACAGAACAGACATTTGTGTACTTTTACCCAAAAGGCCAGAAGAACAAATATAGAAAAGTAGAAGTTGGATCCTTTTAAAATCAATTTCATGATACTTAAGTACATAACTAACAACCAAGAAAGGTAGCGCCATCTGATTTATTCAAATAGTCTGTAGAACGATTTAATTTGACTACAAGTTAAATATTTACACAAGGTTATATTAAGATTTGACTTTAAATTGTTAAACCTGATAGAATAATTGGAGTCTACTCTTTACAAACAGACCAATTGAAATTGAAATATATGATAATGGTACAATTGGAACACTAGTGGAGAAATAGCTACTGCAGCCTCCATAACCTGAAACTACTTAAGACTACCATATCTCGGCTGCAATCATCTGACAACCACTGAATTGCAACAAAGAATTAGAGCTCTGTCATCTAATGGTCATCTGGAGTTTTGGAGCCCAGATGTGGTAACCTTAACCTAGTTTCCCCAGCTCCCTGTTGTGAACAGACCACACAGGACACATTCTCTGATGAATAATAGTAATAATCATAATCATAATAAATGATATGCCACCCAATTCCTAGCAACTCTGGGCAGTTATCTTCCCTCTTGGTGACATCTTCCCTTGGGATTAAATTTCGGTGTGGGAAGCCAAGGAAGCTGGAAAGATTTAGGACATAGACACATGCCCCTTGGTCGTCTTGTAGCTAAGAATTACACCAACCATCCATGAACATTTTGTTGAAATGTTCTTCCTGGGGTGGGGAGAAGCAATTTCTTTTTCATCAGATTGAATGAGGACAATTGAACAACAAAGAAGAAAATTTTAATACAGCACACTGCAGTGTTAAGTGTCTGCTTCTTGCAAACTAAAAACGTTTTCTTCTTTGCTTTAACTTTTTAAAGCAGTCAGCTCTCTCCCCAAGGAATTACAAATAGGTGCTTTGTGCATGACCCCACATCTTCAGAAGCATCTTTTTGCCCTCAAATCTGAAGTGAACCATAGCCCTAGAAATTAGTTGATTTTACTAGCAGATGCTCAGTGAACTGGCTGAAAGGGAATAGTTAAGAAAAAGTTGGGGCTGGGAGAATTCTAAACTGAACTCGGCTAGACTCTTCTTTACAAAAGGGACAACGGACATTCTTGTAACATTTAAAAGCTAACCGCTTTATCACGATATAAGCTTTCATGGATCATTATCCGCTTCATTGAATACATGGAATATTATCCTGAATGAGGAGAACAGTATAAACTTTGCTGTGGAGGAGGGAGGAATAATAAAAGGAATGTCAGAGAGAAATAAAATGTAGAAAGCACAAACAGTGCAAATAATCTACAGATAATGGCTATTAACAAAAGAATTGTTGGATGTTATAGGCATGCATTGATTAGCTATTTAATGCACAGAGTGTAATAAAAGACCTTGGTCTTTGTTTAATCCATTAGAAATGCTGTTCAATCTTCTAATACATTCTAATTTAGCTGCTTCACAATCAAAGTGGCCTTTGCCATTTTTTTGCTCAAGGGTGGCATTAGTGGCAGAATGTCCTGAGCAATTCTGATAAATCTTTGCTCAAGACCTTCTGTCTATTAGTCCATGTAATAAAGATGACACCTGTATATTCCAGTTAAAAGAAGCAGGAGCTGAGGAAGTGATGCATAGCCATAAAGACAGTATGAAGACACTGCCATATTATGCTGGCACTTATAATCTAATAGAACTCTAATATCTGGAACCAAAAGTTGTTTCTATTATTATTAAGAAGTCACACATAATGAATTTGATAATAAGACTTGATATCAAGAATGAAGGTTGATAATGGATATTGTTTCTGAGTTATTTTTATAATATTCTCCATAGATACAAATGAATGACATACACTTGCCTCCCTGTTGAAAGATCTTATCTAAAATATAACTATGTTTATATTTTACATTTAGTGAAGAAAGAAGAGAGAGACAGACATCTTTACAACAGATACAACAATGAAAACCTGTACTCAGTAATCAGTTCTTCAGGACAAGTTGATTGTGGCCGGTCGCTCCACAATCTTACCAACTGTCTACCACACTCTAGGTCCAGCTTGGAATGTCCCCAGAATATAATAATTGAGAATAATTATAAAATAAATCCCTATTTCTCCCCTCTCCCCCTAAGGTTGGTAAGTGTACCATGCATTTTGTTCTAATTAACAGTGAAGTTCTTTATCTGGCTGCACTAAAAGAGACTGCTTTATTGACCAGCAAAGGGCAGATGTTTTATATATCTTGTCAAATACTTGTCTACCTTAAAATCTTCTTAACAGGTAGTGAGCAGAAAAACACCCGTGCAAAAATAGTTAGCACCCACTCCTCCATATAAATGTAAGGCAGAATTGCATTTTTTTTTTTTTTACTGTAAATAAATTGTCATGCTGGTTCCAACCTGCAGTCATAGGAGACCAAGGTGACCCCTTTTTAGAGCAGACCTCAAGAGAAAAGGTACAGACCAGTGAGGACTTGGAAACGTTAGACTTCAAGAAAGTCCAGTACCCACTTTTCATAACTACATTCCCATTAATACCCTAAGTCTATAACTTTCAGAAATCTGAAGGGCAAATATTACATTTGGTACAGATGCATGTAACAAAGCTCTAACAGAAAGAGGCATGTTGTTATTTTCCTGTTATTTTAGATTGCCTTTTCCACAGTTTCTTAACATTAACCATGCTGGTTGGGTCCCAGGGGAGTGAAGTCCAAAGCATTTTTTTCTTATGCTTTCAAGTTACTCTTGACTCCTGGCAGCTGCCTGGAAAAGTCCCTGCAGTATTCTTGGCAATATTTGTGGAAACGGCTTGCCCTTGCCTTTTTCCTAGAGCTGAGAGAGAGTGACTGGCCCAAAGTCACCCAGCTGGTTTCATTCCTAAGGAGGGACTGGAACTCACAATCTCCCAGTTTCTAGCCTGGTGCCTTTAACCATTACACCAAACTGGCTTTCCCAAAACATCTAACATGTATTCTATTGCCTAACCCTAACTTACTACTTCGTCAGTGAAAATGTCAGGAGATTAAAACTGTTCAGACTGGGTCAGAATTCAGAAGACAGACTAGATGAAGTACACTAGTGAAATATAAGGCTCAAGGTACTTCTGCATACAGTGCTGGGGGCTGAGCTGTCTGTAACTAACCCAGAAAAGATTTCAAGGCTATAGCAGATAGTTCAGTGCAGATATCAACTCATTGTGCAGCAAGTGTAAAGAAAGGCAAATTCCATGCTAGGGAGCATTAGGGAAAGGGATTGAAAATAAAACTGCTGGCGTTGTAATACAAATCTATATCCACATCAGGAAAACTCTGTTCTAGTCACCAGATCTGAAAAAGGATATAATAGAGTGGAAAACACGCAGAAGCAGGCAACCAAACAGGCTTCTCGCAAGAAAATGCTAAAACGTTTGGGACTCTTTAGCTTGGAAAAAAGATTAGTGAGGACTTGATTGCAGTGTGTAAAATCAGATGACTGAGCAAGGCCATGACTGTAATGTATAAAATCACCCCTGGCATCAAAAAAGTGGGCAGGGAGAAGCTTTTCTCCCCCTCTTAAAACACTAGGGACAGGGTCATCCATGGAAGCTGCTTGGAAGGAGACAGACACACAGCACATAATTAATCATAGGAATTTATTACCACAAGGGAATTTGCTGAGGGCCAATAACTTGGAGAGCCACTTTGGTCTAGTGGTTAAGGCATCAGGCTAGAAACTGGAGACCCTGGGTTCTAGTCCAGTCTTAGGCACAAAGCCAGCTGGGTGACCTTGGGCCAGTCATTCTCTCTCAGCCCTAGGAAGGAGGCAATGGTGAACCACTCCCGAAATCTTGCCAAGAAAACTGCAGGGACTTCTTCAGGCAGTCACCAGGAGTCAAAACTGACTGCCTTGAAGACACAAAAAACAAAGAAGCAAAACTATCTTGGATGGCTTTAAAAGAGGGTTGGATAGATTCCTGGAGGACAGGTGCATTAAAAGCTATTTATCTTAAAGAATACCTCTGAGTTGGGGGCAGGCAGCATGCCTTCAAATAGCAAGTGAAAGGGAGTAACAATAAGAGAGGCGCATGTCAACATCTCCTGCTTGTGAGCATGGCAAAGTCTTCTGGTTGGCCACTGTGAGAAACCAAATGTTGGACCAGGATGAGCCTTGGCCTCATCCTGGAGGGCTATTTTCACATGCTTATGGAGCTCATGGGGAACACTAGGTGACTTCGAGCTGTTCAAAAATCAAAGCCTGGCACCACCTTTTTAGACTAATTAATTTTATTATAAGTCATAAGCCAATGTTAGTCTAAAAGGGGTCTGCCAGGCTCTTTCTGAATTTTGGCTACCATGGACTAACACAGCTCTCCTCCCATAATACCTGACTTGGGCCATCCGCTATGTCTCAGTCAAATTACATACCTCACAAGCTTTTTATGGCAGTAAAGTGGAGATGGCCCTGCCCGGTGCCTTTAGCTCTCAGAGGAAAGGTGAATGGCAAAGAGTGTAAATGAAATTGCAGAAGAGCGATTCCCAAAGGCAATCTAAGTAGACATGTAGACTGCCCTCCGAGGCGGCTTGTTTTCCCGAGAAAGGAGCAGGTCAGCCCCATAAATTTGCACAACGCAGCCCCACGAATCCAACGCCCTCCCACGAGTGCAGTTGCCCTTCCCGATCAGCCTCGACCACTCAAGCTTTGTCTCAACTCCGACCGTCCGCCCGCTGAATGAGACCCGTCCCAGGGATCCGCCGCCGCGGCGGAGCGCGGGGCGGGAAAGACTTGGGAGGAGACCCAGCCATTGGCCGCCCGGAGCGCCGTCGGTGAAGCGGGAGGAGGCGGCCAGCGCGCGGCAAGTTCGGGGGGAGGCGACTGGCCCCACTTGCTCCGCGTGCGCCCGGAATGGAGCGTAACTTGAGCGGCGGGCTTGGCAACGAGTCTGCTCAGGCAGCTACGGGGAACGGGGGGGAAGCGGCGGCGACCTGGGTTTTTGGCGCGGTCCTCTCTGTCATGTGTGTGGCTGGCGTGACGGGCAACGTGTACACCCTGGCGCTGCTGTGGCGCTCGGGTCGGGGTGCCCGCGGAGCACCTTTGTCCGGCTCCATTGCCAGCCTGGCGCTGGCCGACCTGCTGTACCTGTGCTCCATCCCGTTCATCGTGGGCACGTCAGTGGCGCAGGACTGGTACTTCGGCGAACTGGGCTGCCGCTTTCTGCTCAGCCTGGACCTGCTCACCATGCACGCTAGCATCTTCACGCTGACCGTAATGTGCACTGAGCGCTATCTGGCCGTCACCCGGCCCTTGGCCATGCGGTACCGGGCGCAGCGCTTCCGCAAAATCACAGCCGGCGCCGTCTGGGGCATCTCGCTGCTGCTTGCCCTGCCCATGATGCTGATGGTCACCTTGAGCCAGAGCGGCGATGGCAAGCATATTTGTGCCCCGACCTGGAGCCCCGACGCCTTTCGGCTCTACCTGACGGTGCTTTTCAGCACCAGCATCCTAGCCCCAGGGCTGCTCATTGGCTGCCTCTACGCCCGCCTGGCTGCCACTTACCTGGAGTCGCAGAAGAACCCACCGCGCAAGACGGAGCCCAAGCGCTCTCCTCGCCAGAAAGTTCTCATCCTGGTCTTCACCATTGTGCTGGTCTTCTGGGCCTGCTTCCTGCCCTTCTGGATCTGGCAGCTGGTGTCCCTCTACCACGGTCCCCTCGGGCTGCCGCTCCACATCCAGAAGTATATCAACTACCTGGTCACCTGCCTGACATATAGCAATAGTTGCATCAACCCCTTTCTTTATATCTTGCTCACTAGGAACTACCGAGAGTATCTGCGAAACCAGCATAGGAACTTCTACCGCTTCACCTCCTCCTTTTGCAAGAAGGGCTCCAACTTGCAGTGTTCTTGGAGACAATCATCCTCTTCAGGCACTCAGTGTGAGTCTGGGACAGAGGGCCTGGGCATGGCTGTGTTGAAGGACTGCAAATGAACTTTCTCTCCCTCTTGTTTGTTGGGAGCAGTTTCCAAGCACCGTCCAGGTGGGCCTGAGCAAGGTAAGGTTTCCCATGTGGATGGCCTGTTCTGAAGTTTTCCCAGAGTGAACTAAGAAAGCAATTTTATTTCCTCAGTAACAAACTTTCTTTAAAGTGGATCTTACTCCCCTGTAAAGTATACATAGGATTATGTGCTTTTTAAAATTCAAACATAAATTTTAAACATGTGTTAACTTAGAAGTGACACAGATTACATGCCATAAGACTTTGGTGTAAATTTAAGCATATAAATCAAGAAGCTCTTCTTTTATTCATTAAGATAGTTCCTAGTAAGTGTTACCGTAATATAAAAAGCTCTCAGGTTGTAGAAAATGGGAGAGAGCAACTATTATAATACCTTAATTTAGGCAGAGGTTTTTTTTTTAATACCTTGGAGTCATATGAGTCAGCACATATAAATCTTAGCAAAGAAATAACTTTTTTTTTTAATGTAGGGCCAGTCCTATCCATACACAGAGACATATTTCATCTTAAAAGGGCTGTATCACATATGTCTCAGTTTTGTTGTTTTCTTATGCATGAATGTTTTAATACAGTAGATGATTTTAAAGGTCCTTTCAGAGATAAAATAATAATAAAGATCCCCAATTTAAACTGCAATCTTATATTTAATTACTTGGGATTAAGTACTTTTGAACTCAGTGCCGTTTACTCCTAAGTATGTATGTATTAGTTGTGTAGTACAGTGCTTAACGTTTTACATGTTTGTTGATTTATTCTATAGTAATCTTTCCAAAGGGTGCACCCACCGTAGTTTTTTACTTTACAGTCAGTATTTTGAAAACAATGGCTATAATAACCTTAATGATGCAGTGACAATGGGCTAGGCAAAGTTTATTGCAGGATAAATGATTTTACTCTACAAGTGCTAGTCTTTTAGAAGAGTATTATTTCAGGAACTCAATATCTTTAGTAAACATTCTACCAAGATATACAAAAGTATCAGTTTGTTCTGGTTTTTCATCATTTATGTATAACTTGCAACAGTTCAGTTCTCCCTGTCAAGCACAACTATGGTGGCCTTTGATACATTAATTTTCACATCCATACACTTTGTTTTGTCATACAATTTAGCCAACATTTATTGTAATAATTTTAGTTCTCAGCCAGCAATATGACATCATCTGCATATGAAAGTACATGCATATTCATGTTCCCAAACAACACACCTCTAATGTCATTGCAAGTATTATTATTGGTACAGTATTAGTATTATCCTAAATCAGTTCATTGCAAGATGAAGCCCTCTTCAACTGACTATGCTAGCACAAATCACATAATAATTGTAATAGTTTAAGAGGCACAGACACCACTATGCTGCAGGGAGGAAGGTAGGCAAGCAGCAGCCCTAACTGATCCTTATGGCTCAATTTCATGCAAAGGGTCTCTCGTCCGGCTATATGTGACAGCATCCTTAAAGATCACCAGAGACTTCCAGATTACCACAGCCATGTACCCATCCCTGCCCTGGAATTGCCACTGAAATCTGGAAGGGCACATCTTCAGGGGGAGATCCCACCTCACCTCTCCAAACCCAGTCAGGTTTCAGTAATGCATGTCAGCTTGGCCCTTTCATCCATGAACAAGTCATGGATGCAGTAAGCTTTATTACTGTACAGGCTGACATAGCATTGGTTAAGCTATGATGGTGAGAGAAAGCTTCTCTGAAAACAAGTGTACAACTTTTTTAAAAGTCAAGGTCCACCTTTGGTCTTTGAGTAGCCTGCAGGGCTATATTTGATTTTTAATTACATCTAAAATAAATGATTGGAATAAATGTAATTAAAAGGTAAAGTCTCCTTCAGGATGAGCTCACCACCTTGGTGACTTCATGGATACATCCATATACTGTAGTTCCTTGGCAACAGTACAGAACTGATTTGCCATTGTCTCCTTACAGGATTTTTTTTTTTTTTCAGTTTCCCAGTTTAACTCATAGACCTGGTATTCCTTAATTATCTCCCATCCACATCCTAGCCAGGGCCAGCCTGCTTAGCTTCCCAACCTAGACAAGATTAAGCAAGTGCTGTCATGTGCTGAGATTAATGTCACTATTCTCCACATATTTGATTATTTTTCTTTTGCATTAATAATTATAACTTGGTGACAGCTTTTAAAGGGTTTTTGCAGCTGTGCTCAAGGCTTTTAGGCTGTGTGTGGCCCTGGGGGTTCTAAGGTTATCCATCCCCACCTTAAAGGAATAGGAGGCTAACAATCCTACAACTCCTTTGGAGCCTGGCTAAGGAGTCTAAGCCTTGCCTATAACACCTTTGCCCTTTGGCTAACTGTAGGCATCTTCTCTCCCCCTCATCCCAACTTTTATCTTTTTCAGCTCATTCTCAACTACCCCCCACCCTAGTTTTTCTACTTTTTTCCTATTTCTGACACTTTGCATGTTGTTTTTTTCTGCTCTACACCTTTACATGTTTACTCTTAACTTCTTCCCAGGCCTCTACCTTTTCCAGTTACACTTTTTTCTGCTTTTTTATCTGCTGCTTTTGTTCAGCCCCAAGGCCTCTGAATTCTTTGTTTATTTCCCTACCTCCTGGGATTCCTTCCTATTAACTCCAGGTTCTCCCCATCACCCAGTGCAAATGATATATGAGATCTTTTCCCCCTTTGAATTGTAACAATAGATCTCTTTACTCAGATTAAAGAATGGCAGTTCATCTTTTAAATATTAGTCATCGTTCATTGCCACTGTTTGTCCTAACTCAAAATTTCAAGTCCTCACAGACTACAGGAATACTTGAACTGTTATGAAACTGATGTTGGCTTACCCTTATTCATTGTCCTAAGTGTCTCTGCTTCAGAAGCCACTGCCTTGCTCTTCTTCGCTAGTCCTGGTCCTTATTGAACAATCAAAGGAGAACATCTCAATCAAATCAAAGACTGTGGCTGAAGGTCTCATTCTTTGTTACCAAATGCCCATGGCTTCCACTTTCATCACCAACCAGGAGACTGCCAGGGCCCATCTGGAGCCCTCATTCATATTCCTGGACTTCTCACTCATCTTCCTGTTTCCTTCTACTCCACCCTGCCATTGCTCTTTCTGTCTGACACATACTAATTTTTAGAGGCAAGGCTTTATAGGCAAGCCTTAGACTCCATAGACCTGGAACTAGCGAAAGAATCCATGGCAGCAGTACTACCCAACACACCTGACCTAACCAAGTACACTAAGATCGAAATACCCAGGATTATGGACCTCTTCAACCTTTGCCTCACTACCTATTTTCAGTCTGAGGGACAAATACACCAACAAATCAGAGGAATACCCATGGGATCACCACTCTCAGGACTTATTGCAGAGATTGTAATGCAGTATCTAGAAACTATAGCTATGTATGAACGTTATTCAGATGAGCACAAACACACTGCAGCAACCCAGAACAGCAGAAAAAGGAAACAGACCACCTATATAACATTTTCCAATAAAATGGATACTCACGCAACTTTATCAGAAAGTGCCTGATCACTTAACCCACTACAACGCAACCAACACAAGCTATGAAAACAATAACACTGCCATACATCAGAAACATCTCAGAAACAACCAACAGACTATTACAACCACATGGCATCACTGTAGTACGAATTCCAACTAAAGCCCTCCGAAACATCTTAAGTAAACCAAAAGACCCAGTAGCCCAAGGAGAAAAAACAGGAGTCATCTACAACATACAGTGTAAGAATGTAACAGCCACTATGTAGGCAGAAGGCTAGCAGAGCACATCCATGAACACCAACTAGCAGTCAGAAGACACGATGAAAACTCCTTAATCTCACAACACTTGGACAGACTTAACCATA